TATAACCAATGAGCATGTATCAGTAATATAACCAATGAGCATGTATCCATAATATAACTAGATGGCACAGAAAAGCTTCTAACCCAAAGACACACAAAGACATATTCTTAAGAACAAGAATTTACTTCAGTGAAACTTCACAACTCATGACTAACCTTCCCTTGAATAATCTTTTGAGTTACACATAATTTAAAAAGAGTTAAGGCAAATGAGACTAGAAACAAAACAAAAAAAACCCAAGGTAAAGTTATTAGCTCGAATCAGGCTGATATTCACTACGTACTATTTTAAAAAGCTCTGTGTAAATTCAACATTGTTTTCATAAAACTGTTAGAAAAAAAACAGTACTGTTAACATTTTCAAAATTAAGTTAATCTGAGCTAAGTTCATTTCTGTGGCAGAAATGTAAGGTATGGCCCAGTGTTTAAAACAAAACAAAACAAAACAAAACAGAAAGTGCGTGTTATAAATAATATTTTAGCTGGGTAGTTTGGGTGCATGCCTTGAATCCCAGTACTTAGGAGGCAGAGACAGGCAGATCTCTGTGAGTTTGAGGCCAGCCTGGTCTATAGAGTGAGGTCCAGAACAGCCAGGGATACACAGAGAAACCCTGTCTTGAAAAAAAAAATTAAAAAAACCAAAAGGCTCATCCTAGAGTTTCGGATTCACAGCTGTCAGCTTAGAAAACTGCTTTGTTATTAATTTGGCTCACACTTCTGAGGTCTTCTCCATCAAGGGCTCTGCAGTGGAGTGTCCTGTCCTGTCCCTTGGGCAGAGGTCAGGGTACATGCTGGACTTGGTGCATTCTCCACTTGCCTTCTGACCTTCACATTTTTGTCTGTGAGACAGGTTCCAATGCAGAATACGGGTTTTCCTTTCCTACACCCTTTTTCTTCTCATCCTCATCGAACTGTGCTTCGATCTCTGCTGGGTTGACGTAGGTGTAGAATCGAGCCATGATGGCGAAAATTATACAGACAACCAGGAGCAATGAGGCAAACAGAACATACTCAGCCCACTGGAGGAATCAAACAAACAAACAAACAAACACAGGTCACGTTAACATAATGTTGCGAGCATCTCTTCTTGCTGCTTCTAGGTGGAAGACATCTTGGAGTGAAACTAGATGTCGGCTCCCAACAGAGAGACATTGTCTGGATTTCCTCAAATGCTCAAGGAGCAGGTGATGCTTTTTACTAACATGGGGTATGGAAACAAGACTTTTGGAAGGACGAGAGAAACTTTCTGAAATTCTTAAGGCTTCAGGCTGGTGCCAGAAGGATGGGGAGCCAGCAAGGACCAAGTGGTAACCTCCCAAGATAGAGTGTGCTGAACATGGGTGGGAGGGATTGCTTCACAGGTCTGAGCATCTGCCAGAAGTCCTTGGTTGGGGTCCTGAAAAACCTATAAACCCCCCAACTCCAGCTCTGGGGACCCAATAATATATAATAAATATATAATATATAATATATAATATACTATATAGTATAATATATTATAATAAAATATTATATACATTATACTCCATATAATATATATAGTATATATTATGTGCATACATGTGCACAAACACACACATATATACACATAGTTATATGCACATATTTTTTGACAATGCCTGAGCTCAAGAGCACGAAGCCCCATGGCCATTCCTGAAACAGGGAACTGAGTAACTGCCTGGTGACAGGAAATCACCAGGCAGATCTTGTGTGCAACAAGGCTGGACAAAAGCTCTGAGTATCAGACAAGCCTGCGTTTTATTTTATTTTTAAATGGAAAGTTATAACCATCTCAAGAACATCTTTAACTTATTGTGGAGTTTATGTACAAGGAATCTGGTTTTCTTTCTTTCTTTTTTTTTCCTTCCAGTGCTGGGCTAGAACCCAGGACCTTGTGCACACTAGGTGAGTACTCTCCGTGGATTTACACCCCTAGCCCATATGACCAGTTTAAGGTTCTTGATCTCAATTCACAGAATTGATGGCAGATTTTTTTTTTTTTTAATAGTGGACCCCATCGGAGTATACAGACTTTAACTCAATATAGCAAACCTGGTGTCGGTTTCCAGGTAACAGAAACCTGCAGAGACTGCCCAGTGCTATTGGTAAAAACTCTAGCTGACTGGTCTGGCAGTGTTATTCAACCACTCACTCAAATGGATATGTATTTATAGATAGCTAGGGATAGTCATGGTGCTGACCAAGAAGACTAGAACTTCAAAGCCATCATCTACGCAGCAAGTCTGAAGGCAGCATGGGCTACATAAGGCACTGTCTCAAAAAAGAAAACAGAAGGAAAAAGACACATCCAAGTTTCTTTCCCCTTATACCTGTTCGCTGAAGTGGCCGGCCCCTGCTACAATGAGCACAATGATATTGCCGACTGCCACGGTTAGAAGCCAGCCTGCCTGCAGCACGGACTTCATGTTAGACGGAGCCTAAGGAAGCAAAGCAGAAAGCATTACAACCTGGGTTCCCGATTCAGGCCCAGAGAACCCCTCCCGCCCACCCACTCACTTCACCAAGCACCCCTGAAGTGCAGGTCAGAGGTCAGCTCTGGTTGGGTTTAGTCAGGTATGGCATCTCACTCCTATAGGCTAGCTCTTGGGAGGTGGAGGCACAAAGATGCTTGAGGATGCCCTCAGCTACAGAGCTTGACTCTGCTCTCAATATAAATGTGTGGCTGCACCAATGGAAAGCAGAGATCAGGATCGGGTTGAGACAGGGAACCGTTCCCGAGGCAGGGTGCCTCTCTCCACACACTTACAGTGTTGCCCTAGTAACACAGACAGATCTATCAGTGGACGGACTTTGCCTCACAAGTTTCTAGACAAAGCCACGTTCTCCCCAAAGGAAGACAACTGTGTGCACTCCTCTGTAGCATCCCTGCTATGTCCCCATACTCCTTCCTCAAGCTCTTCCCCACCTATCACAGCATGGCTTTGTCAGATGGTGTGGTCCTCACAGAAGGAGGTAGCCATGCTAACCATTACAGATGCTGAAGAAGAAGATGCCCAGGATGCAATGGCTTTAGCTGTAGTTTTGACAAACACTTTAGACATTAGAGCTCTAATTGGGGTATCAATAAAATTTGTCTAATTAGACTAATATACTTGAAAGCAAAAAAACCCCAAAAAGCCATTTTCCTGAGGTAGGGTGTTGCGTGTCTCGGCTGACCTCCAGACTCACTATGGAGCCAAGGATGATCTTGAACTGGTTTTTCTACTTCAACTTCCTCAGTGCAGGGGTCATAGGAGTTCATCACCACACCTATTTCACACAGTGCTGGGGATTGAACCTATGGCCTAGAGCATGCTGAACCAGCACTGTATCAACTGAGCTATATCTCTAGCCTTAAAAATAGGGTGTTACACTTGTTCTTAGCAGTAGATCTGATTGGATGATGTCGCTGGGAGTAAAAGAGAGATGCCTACTGGACCTTATGTGTAACCAGCTATAACCAGGACACAGACCTATAGACAAGTACTTAGATGCCTAGATGCTGCCTTTGGGATATTACACAATGCAGAATCTGTTACTATGACCCTGGTAGCAAGACCTTGGTACGCTGCACCTTCCTTAGACGCTAGCCTTGTGTCTAGTGTCTTTGTCTAGTCTAGTGTGATTATATATCTATACGTCTACTATATCTCTCTCATTAGATATATAGATATCTACTATTTATCTATCTATACTATATAGATATCTATTAATATATCTCTATATACTATCTATATTTATAATATCTATCTCTATGTATAGATATGCAAGATAGATAGCATCTGTGTATATACACACACTCTTTCTCCATCCATCCATCTATCTATCTATCTATCTATCTATCTATCTATCTATCTATCTATC